CGTGAGCGCTAGTCAGACCGCCACCTACCACCATTACTCTGTGGCCTTTCTCACATACTGCACACACACACACACACACACAGTACCTGTTAGGTTGTGAGGTCTGGAGATTAAACTGATTCCTCAATTCAGAAAAACCCACACTTGCCTTTAGATGGAACAACCTCTGTCTGCGTTTGCTTAGATTTGGACAAATAGTGCATGAGTTCCACTGTGTGCTGCAGGCGCTCCTCTGGATACGCCTCGCCGATGTTCTTCACCCAGGAAGGAATGTTTGCCATCTGAGCACGGCTGGGTCCTGTTGCTATGACCACCCGTTTAGCCTGAAGAATGGTTCCGTCCTGAAGTTGGACTTTGAAATGCTTGACTTGCTTTCTGTCCCCATCCTTTACGTCGGTCCCTTTTATTGTCTTCCCTTCTGTGTCCGGCTCCTCCACCGCAGAGGGCATCGATCCCGCGTCCTTAACAACAGGGATGATGTTCTCCACCGTTCCCTTTAGCATCACTTTGTCCAGGTTATATCTGGAAACCTTTGGGAAATTTGGGAACCAAGTTTGTTTTGTGGCTCAGAAAGTTAAAGTTTGAATATTATTTTAAAAAAAAACCCTTTAATCACTCCTATAAATGAGTTTGACTGAGAGGTGCCATGGTCAAAGGGGGGAAAAAAACCTGCTTTTTTTGCTGTCCTTGAAATGTACATTTAAAAATTAATAATTATTATACATGTTTGGTGATTTTTTTTTTCATTAAAACAACAACAATAAAAAAAAGATCATTTTTCCTAACTACTAAACACCCATCTAACCTGATCTTTGAAGAAGTCCACGCTGAGTGTCGTTCCCGGCAGACTGAAGGACAAACTCTTTTTCAGGGATGACGTGACGTTCAGCCGCTTCTTCTCTTTTTTGCCGAGTCTCATGTCACTGAAAAACGCATTTTCATCCAAAATATAAACCTGATCCTGGAGGCGGTGAAGCTCCGCTGAGCGATCGGTCTTCAGGATGAACTCCTGCAGAGCGTGCTGTTGGGGGAGAACATGAACGCAGCAGTTCAACGTTGTTTGTGAATCTCACTTTTGCGTTTGAGTGCGGTGTGTGTCTTGTGTGTACCTTATTCAGGGGGTCCGTGTGCACCAGTGTGTGTGAGCGCAGGTGAGGGATGCTCAGTGCTGTGAACTGACTTTCCCACAGAGTGGTCCACTCGCCGTAGGAATCCACCACCAGGAGACTCAGCTGAGGGGAAACGAGCCCGTCTGGTGCTGACAACTTGGCTGCTTGTTCCTCCGGTGTTTGTCCTAAATAATAAATTCATGAAGCTTTGTTAGAAAAAAAAAAAACATAGGAGAAATAAAAAAGCGAGTGTTCATGGAGGGGCAGGTTGGTGACATATAACCTACTAAGTCTGGAATCTAACCCACAACCGTAGACTGGTCTAAGTCCTGACTATTTGAAGTTATTAAGCATGGGCCTTCCAGTGGTGAAGCATGGGAACTGCATGTTCCTGGTTTATAAACAGTCAGATAATAATGTCACTTACTGTACATCAAATGTACCAGACTTCAGATGATTGTAAATTATTGATTAATACCCCCCCCAAAAAAGTGAATTGATCAGTATCAACATGCAGTTGTTGTAGTATTAATTTTAATAAAAAAAATAAAAATAAAAACGATCAAATGAAATCCTCAATATTTTTTTTTACCATTTTTTGTCTTCCCCTTCTTCCTCTTGACGCTGCAGCATCTCTTGTCGGGTGTAGGCTTCGTAGAGTCCGAGCACCAAGACGACTGGGCCGGGTCATTTGGGCGAGGCTCTGTGTTAGGACTGGACAGCAGGCTGGCAATGGTCAAAGCATGTGGCCCACCACCGATTATCAATACATCCACAGTCACCATCTGAAATGAAGACACGGACGGAAACACCGATCCTGCCATTAAACAACGCCCCCTGGGAATAGACTTGTTTTACACTTTTTTTGGTAAAAAAAGCAAATGGGAATAGACTTGTTTTACACTTTTTTGGTAAAAAAAAAATCCAATAAAAATTAAAGTATGGGTCAAACCTCCCCAAAATATCCAACACCTTATAAATCACAAAATCACAAAAAAAATCCATTACCTGGTTTAACTAAGGGTTGTCACCTCCTGACGGCGTCTGCTGCATTGGAGTTTGCTCTGCTCCGGCGGTGGACTGCAGCGTGTGCAGTTGGTTGCAGACCTGTGGCATGTGTCTCTCATGTAACCCAATCCCACCTCAGTGTCTACAGATTTAGCCGGTGCTCAAAACTGGAAATAGCCAATGTGTGTTTGCATGTTCAAAATTAGCCACCCAACTTTGTGTCAGTGTCTGAGCAGAAGGACTGCTGCAGATGGTACAGTACATCGAGGGCAACTGGACCGGTAGGGTTTCTCAGAAGACGCCTCACCTCTCACCCCAAGAGGCTTCTTCGGTTCTGACTAACTGCTGGGACTAACTGCTGAATCCACCTGGTTTCTCCAGCTTGACGTAGACGACTCCCTTCACTCCTCTTTCAAACCCCGTCTGTCTTCTCTATCGAGGAAACGTACGCTCCCATCCTCAAAACTGTGTCCTCTGTCCTTAGGATCTAGATGAACCGCTGAGCGTTGGACACCTGTGCTGTTGTTGTACAGCGGTTGTTGTGGTTTTCCCCCGATGTAGAAGTCAGGGCAGGTTCAAACACCTGTTGAACTGGAAACAGGTGGTATGTAGGCGGAGATCCAGGAGTGAGATCCAAATCTAGTCTGGGGTGAGATCGGTCCCGTTGAGAATAGAGTAGAGTCTGGAGTCTAGGTCCTGGTCAAAGATCTCGTGTCTTTTGAGTTCTTGCAGCAGGGCACAATCTTTTTTTCGGGTCCTGTTTTAGTGTCTTATCTTTGAGAAGGACTGGACCGGTAGGTTTTTCAAGAAATACCAGAAGTGTCCCAGCAGGTAGTCTGAAGTGAAGAGGCCCTTGATGTGATTACTTTGGATAAGATGACCTGGGGGACTGAGAACCTACACACTATTCCTGAAGGCGACCAGGACGTAAGGGGTGTTTTGTGATTTTTTTTTTTTGTGTACGTTTCCGGTTAGGTAGCAGCTGTTGAAAATGTCATCTTGAAGTGAGGGAAGAGGACAGCAGGAGATATTTGTGCTGACTAAACCATCCTCTTCGGAGCCTTCTCATCAGCTGTGGAACAGGCCACATACCACGCTGTGAGTCAGCATGTGACGCTGCATACCACGCTGTGAGTCAGCATGTGACGACACTCCGCTGAAGAGAGGTAAAGGGCTATTTCAGGGAATTGCAACAATGTCCTGAATTCGTCTTTTTACACAGTGGGGCTACGTACATGAAGCACCACCTGACCTACTGTATATGTGGAATATAAGATTGAGATTGAAAATTGAATGTTTGAAACAACTTCAAAATATTCGCAAAAGTCAAATATTATCGACGTCTGATTTCGCCCAGAAATCGCAACTTCAGCTATTGATTCCTTTTATAAATCGGTACTATCGAGCCAGGGTGGTTAGAAATAAGAATTGCAGTATTTTCTAGAATGTTCTTTGTGATTGTTGTTTGTGCTCCACTCTGACACAGAGGAAGTGATTTCCTTCCAGCTGTTTTTTTTTTTTGTTACACTTTACTTCCCTGTTTTCCCGTGTTTGCGAGTTTACCTTTTAAATTAACCCCCTCAGTTCTGTGTACGAACAGAGTCAGAATACACAACAGGAAGTAAGAAAAAGCCGACATGCTTCTTGTTCATGGAATAGAAACCCTGTTACTACTGCTGTAAAAGAGCGCTTCCCGTTCTTACTTCTATATTGTGGTTTACTGTGGATCTATATGTTTTACCTCCTTGTACTCCTGTACATGCACTCCTCTTGTTTGCTTCCTCATTTCAGTTCCTCGTCAACAACCACCATCAGTGTGTTTTCTGCTACTTCCCCCTTAATCGGAATAGAGATCCATTTAAAGCACTGCCTCTGTGTCAGGTGCTGGCATCGGTCTGAGGCATCGGAGCAACAGCATCATGGCCCTACAGGTAGGTGACACATGTCGACAGATGTCCAAGTACTGAAGTCTCCGAAGTTTCCTTTTTCACTGAAATGTTGGTCGTTTGTTGTTTACCATATGTTAGAATTCCAACATCCAGGGTGGTGTGCTCATCCACCACACGCTGCAGGAAGGAAAGCATCAGTACGAGGTGGAGAAGGTGATGAAACAACGTCCTGCAAAAGGAGAGAAAATGTTTGTCAGGTAAAAACCAGACACGTTTCGTCAGACTTTTCTACGCTTCTTCCAATAAATTAAATTAAATTAAATTAAATTAAATTAAATTAAATTAAATTAAATTAAATTAAATTAAATTAAATTAAATTAAATTAAATTAAATTAAATTAAATTAAATTAAATTAAATTAAATTAAATATATAGGGATAGAAAATGATAATTCATCTCAAAGCCATCTAAATGTCTTTTTTAAAGTGCGAGAAAAATTAAACAAATGAATAGTAATTGTAAATTACTATTTGTTTGTTTCATTTAATTTAATTTAATTTCTTAATTAAAAAACTGGAACAATTGAATGAAGGCACGGTGGATAAAAATAAATGCTGAACAAAACGGGAAGTGAATTACATAAAACGTTGAACAAATTCATCTACATTTTGGTCGGTAGGAACAAATAACAGCACACTGAGAACCACCTCTAGTACACACTCTTATTCTTAAACTTTTATGCTCCTTAAAAAATAAGAATACATGAAGTAGAGATCATTGATCTGTCGATGATCTGTTTGTCATTTCTCTTCTCAACACTCTGCCAGGAAAGGAGATAAACTGATGCTGGTCAACAATATTGACCTGCAAAACCTTCCTCCTGAGGATTTGGCACAAATATTATCCCAGGGCCAACCAATGCTGGTGAGTTCAGACATTTTCATTGTATTTAATAATCTCATCATTCAGTCAAGTTTTTCTATATGCTGTTTCTATTCTTTTAGTATTTTAGTGATAAAAAGTACAGGCATCACCGACATGGGTTGTGGCTTTAAAATGTGCCTTGAATCAGGGGTTCCCAATCCCCGGTCCGGGGACCTGAGCCGGTCCGTAGGTCATTTGGTACCGGGCCGCAGTGAGACAGAGTGAAAAAATGTACTTCAGTTAATTAACTTCATTCAAAAAGAATTCATTAATACAACAATTATTATTAAAATAAAAATATATTCCTCTTTAAAAAATGTTTGTAAAAAGAGTTTGCCATTTATGAGTCAAACTAACACTTAAGTTTTTTTCCGGTTACTGTAGACGGTGCACAAGGCCAGCGAGAACAAGGACAAAGAACGACCACCGGGGGATGGAAACACCCTGAGGCCGTTTTTCAAGGAGTCCAGACTTCTGAGCATTAGAATGGAAATGAGGAGAGAAGAGGAGGACGAGGCGGGAGAAGAGGAAGACATGGCGGACGGGTGCATAGAAGAGGATGCCGCTCAGACGGAGGGTGGAACGGAGGGAGGGAAGAAAGAAATGATCGTTGTTACCATGACTAAAACCAGCATCTCTGTAGTGTCAGGGAGGGGCTGCGGTCCTGACGATCCCTGTCGAGGATGTCAGGGCAAAAGCTGCACCTTCCAAAATGTGGTCATTGTGTCGGAAACCAGCGCCGTCACAGTTGGTGGGCCTTTGTCTTATTTGATCTTTTTTTCTTTTCTTTTTGTCAATTTGTTTCCTAATCCCTCCCGTTTATTGAATAACCTCACATCTCGTTCAATCCCAGTACATCAACTGAGAATTATATTACCTCATCCTAATATAATCATAGTTCTAATATCCTTTTTGGCTTGTGATCCAAATTTTGAATTAGAATTAGTTTTGGATCATTTTAACACAAAAGTGTTGTGATTTTTTTTTTTTTTTTTTTTTTGAAATATCACTTTTTACCATATTTACAACAATAGTGCTTCATGTATTAAAATATTAAATCTAACGCCTAAATGTTAAATCTAAACGTTTCGGGCGAAACTAAGTGTTTAGCTAATACGCGAGTTCACACTTCCTTCGTACCAAAATAAAAGCTCAGACTGTTGATAGAGACAAATAACAAACTAAAGCCAATTAAAGGAAGGAAACGGACACTTTCCGTTGAATAGACATTATTGTGATATTTACTGCCTAAAATAACAACAACAGCAACAACAACAAACAAGCACACGTTCATTTTGGCCGAGCCGTCATGCCTGCTCCCATAAAGGTCAGCACTAACCTCCAACCGCCCCCACCCACTCCTACGGCCACAGTCCACTCCGCTCTTCTGTACTTCCCAACATGTCTGGTGATTCAGGGTTGGCGGAGAACACTGGAAGGCAATTTTGGCAATTTGTCAGCGACGGCATCTGCCACCGGGCCACTACAGCACTGGGTAGGGTGAGTTGGTGAGGGCGGTGGGAGGTTAGTGCTGACCTTTATGGAAGAGCGCGCGACAACGTAGCCAAAGTGAACATGTGTTTTATTGTTTTGTGTTTTTTTTTTTTTTTTTTTTTGTCTGTTATTTTAGGGAGTACATAAAGTAACTGGCTTTAATTTGTTTTTGGTTTTTTTAATCTATCAAAGATCTACTGCAACATCCTAAACTGGCAAAAGTGAAGATCTAAAAGATGGAAGGTATTACAGCACTTCAGTGTCAGTTTCAGTTTGTAAATGTTATTGTTATTATTATTATTAATTACTAGACGTTTCCAGCGGCCCCATTTGAATTCTCTGTGACCCGGTGTGGGGGCACGAACCCAATATTGAGAACCACTGCATTAACTCGTTTATTTACTTATTTCATCTGCTCAAACCCTATTATCTTTTATTTTATCTAAATATATAAGTCTTTGATTTTTTTTTTCCCTCATGTCTTTACTCTAACCTCATCTGATCTGATCTTATTTTCTGAGTTGGTGTACGGTCCTTTTTTGATCTAATCTCTTACCTAACTCCCTCACTACCCATTGGATTTATCACCTATGTTGTTACCTAACCCCACCACCTTTGCTCATGTTGACCTTTGACCTCAATTTCTGAATAGCACCATTTTATAACCTCATCTAGTCTCCCGATCTCAACATTTCCTTTTTGCATATTTGTTATACCTCCATTCAGACAGGTCTTTGTGGATAAAGTCTATTATTGTAGATGCATAGTTCATATCATGACCTGATATTGCAGTTTTTCTAACAGAAATGTGTATGTCTGTGACTACTCCATTAATATCTTTTAGTTCCAAGAGGTGGCAGCAGTTTCAAACAGGCCAATTCTGTAACAGCATCCATCGAACACATGGCGACTCATCAGTACCTTAGAGGTCTGTGTTCGGAGAAAACCCTCTACACGTCACCAAATCCAGGTTTGTCTTTACCGGCAGCACACAGCAGTGAGCAACAAAACCGGACTTACAGTTCAAATCTGTTGCTAACAGCACACTATAACGAGCTTTGTTTTTATTGCCTGTTTTTAAGAGAATATCACAATCTACCACTACAAGTCAAACGTCATGGAGAGGCCGTTCAGGGGAGTGCCAGTGGTCCTGAACTTCACCGACTCTGACTGCTTTCTCAGGTGCGTCAAGATAGGACCAAAGGTCGTTCTCCAAGTTGAGGTAACATGTGAATACATTCACTCTAAAAGTGAACAACAAAAAAAAAAAACAACTTGTTTCCATTCTGATTCATTAATTTTTCACTGCAGGAATNCAGAATCTGAAGCAGATTTGTTTGAACGATGACACCAAACTGTCCTTTGTTTTCTATATGAAGTCGGACCAATCCAAACACACCAGCTTTGAGTCAGTTCTGCATCGTGGATGGTTCATCCAAGCTGTCAGTTCGGACTCGGTCTCGGTTGAAACTGTGGACGGAGCCAGCGGACACCATGCATTTCTGTTTGTCATTCGAAAGGACTGCGTTACAGTCAAGTGATCGATTGCTGATCGTTAACGACGATGTCAGAGATTTACTGTACATTTCTTCTTCGTTTCCACACAAATAACAGTGGAGATGTACTGTCTGTACTGCATGTAATACTTTCAGCGTGTGGTTATGTTTCAGTTACTGTACATGTTTGTTTTTTTAAGAGTCAAAGCTTAAAATCGTTTTTAACATCAGAAAAATTTTTTTGCTTTCTTGATCAGACCGTAAAATTGTTTTTAACATCAGAAAAAACGTTTTGCTTTCTTGATCAGACTGCTGTTCATTCGATAGCAGTTTGTTTTTGCAGATAAATAAATGCACAAATACCATATGTAATAGTTATACTTTGCAAATATACACACATATCTCAGGCATGTACCGTGCCAGTACAGCAGCGTCAGAACATATTATGGTTTTGTTACTACGCTCTGTTTATATTAATCAGATCCGATTCCTTCATATAGAACGTGTGGGATGAAATGATGTGATTTAGTGTATTATAATAAGAATTTAAATAATATCTTTACAAAGCTCTTAAAGGGTACCAGGTTTTATTATTATTATTATTATTATTATTATTATTATTAGTATTATTATTATTATTATTATTAGTATTAGTATTAGTGTTATTAGTATTAGTATTAGTATTAGTATTAGTATTAGTATTAGTATTAGTATTAGTATTAGTATTAGTATTAGTATTAGTATTAGTATTAGTATTAGTATTAGTATTAGTATTAGTATTAGTATTAGTATTAGTATTAGTATTAGTATTAGTATTAGTATTATTATTGAACTAGTGTGAGGTGTGAGAGACTAGTGATGTAACCATTGTTTCCTAGATGTAGTTATGGAGGTGCTTTTAACTGAATGGATTTGTAACCACTACATGGTGCTAATTAACATACAATCAACTTTATTGTTGTTAACTTTAGTGAACAATAACAACTAGGCCCACATGTGGAGACCGACAAATAATTTACACTCATACACGTGCGCTGGTGCGTTTGTCTGATGAGAAACCATGAAGCTTTGCTAAAAACAGGAACAGCTTTATAAAAGCAACGATCTTCACATTCTCACTCCTGGCTGGTGACTCCAAAATCAGAATCCAGTTTGTTCACCTTCGTTGTCCTCGAAAGCCTTGTTGGTTTGCCCTTCAGTTTCATAAGGATTATTCACCAATGGCCTGGCAGATCTCCTGTAAAAACACAGACAAACAAACATCGTTTTTTTATTACCAAAGTCCTGAAGGTAAATGTTGTGTACAGAAAAGTCTCACTGCATGAACTTACTTCTTGCGCTCTCTGACACCAGAGATGATGAGAAACATGCCCATTAGGACCACCACTCCCATGACAACTCCGAATACAACCAGCCACACCTCCACTGGCTGCTCTACAGGGGGCGCCAGTGTTGCTGGGATGCCTAAGAACTCAAGCGTCCAGTCATCCAGTTGAAAGGCATCATTGATTCTACCTCGGGATAACCTGGGATTAAGAATATTATTATTTTAGAATCTGAAATAATTCATAAATATTTTTTCTATTATTATTATTATTATTATTATTATTATTATTATTATTATTATTATTATTACCTATCCAATAATAATAATAATAATAATACAAAGAAACATTTCAGTACATGACAGTGTATGATGTCCTGCTATAATAACACAGCTTACAGTTGATGTCCCTAAAATAGATAATATTTATGACTACAATCCATTCAAAGCTGTATATGTTGCATTGCACTTGTGATGATATCTTGAGCAAGTTCAGAAGAACATAGCATGTTGAAATGACTTTCCCGGCCCTTTCTACCCAACCAGCCTAACAAAAGTACCGTATCCTGACCAATTCCACACTGAAAGACCATCTTTGTCGCTTGACTTCAAAATAGTTAATGACAAAGAAATGGAGTCTCACCTGATGGCAGCCTCCAAATCACTCTTCGGGATGTACTCTGAACTTGATGGGCGGCTGGCGGCCATGTAAAAGGAGATCCTGGGAGTTTCGTTGTAGGTGTGAATGTTCGCTGATCTGCAGGTGGGAACAAAGAATCGAGCTTTAGAGGCAGAAGCAAAAACATAAAGATAAAAAAAAAGCAAAGGCGATACTGACGTGAAGGGAAGAGTCTGGTTCTTCTGGCTGTAGTACTGCCTCAGAGCATATGCCATGTTGGTCTTAAACAGGTACATCTCATTACTGTTCCACGGGTACTGAAGGACATTGAAGCGCAAGGTTGTGAGAGTGACGACAACATCAAACTACAAATGCATTCCATGCATAAACACAGGTAGATACTGCAGAACGAATGGAAAGAGAATGAGGTGGCCCATACTCACAGCACCGTCGCCCATAGCAGCCTTCAAACTTATTCTCACTTTGATTGCATTCTCTGAGTCTATGACAGAGATGACAGAGAACTGTGTAATTATACCAATCCAAATATCGATGCTTACAGCATATTTTATTCACTGTGAAAATGTATCAGATAATTCGATTCATTTTTAATTATGATAATTATTAAAGATATAATAATTAAGATTTGTCTCTACAGTTGTCTGTTTACATTGATTGTTCTGTTGTATCCATAGTAGTCTCTGCCGGTGTAATGTGTTAACACTTCCCCATTGATTCAGACAAAATAATATTAACAACAACAACAACAACAACAACAACAACAACAACAACAACAACAACAACAACAACAACAACAACAACAACAACAACAACAACAACAACAATAATAATAGTAATGTGTTGTTATTATTATTCTTATTATATTATTATTATTATTAATATTATTGTTGTTGTTGTAATTATTGTTATTGTTATTGTATTGTTATTCTTATTGTTGTTATTATTGTTATTACTATTTTTATTGGTGTTGTTATTGTTATTGTTATTGTATTGTTATTCTTATTGTTGTTATTATTGTTATTACTATTTTTATTGTTGTTGTTATTATTATTGTTATTGTTGTTGTTATTTTTATTAATATTATTATTGTTATTGTTGTTGTTATTGTTATTATTATTATTATTGTTGTTGTTGTTGTTGTTATTATTATTATTAATATCGTTATTATTATTCTTATTGTTATTGTTATTATTTTTTTAATAATTATTATTATCTTATTCTCGTTGTCATTGTTGTTTACTTACATGGGTCAATGCTTGGGTCCCAGCCTACAGTCCTGCCGTGTTTCCTATTTTCTTCCTTCAGCCATTCGTACAGTTTTTTAAAATAATCCAACAGGGGTTGGGCGTTCATTTTCACATCCCCAGATATGGTTTCCAAAGCCTTTGTCCAGGACTGTGACCTGCCCAGCGCTAACATATTCCTTGAACAAACAAAGACTGTAGTGAGTACATGGTTTGTTTATTCTACAGCATATTTGTTTGTGCGACTAAAGACTCTTCAATACTTCAGTTTAGTTCCGGCTTCTTTAGAGTTAGTAATGTCACATGATGACAACGGTCCCGTGTGATTGGCTGCATCGCAAAGCGCCTTCTGAAACTGGAACTGGTAGATGGTTCTGGTGAAGTACCTGTGACACAGACACAAACACACACACACACTTGCGTGAGTCTGTTTGTTTGCAGGAGTTGCTGCCCTTCCAGAGGGTCTTGTTACCTGATGAAAGAATAATCTCCAGATACGTGGAACAGAGCAGGGGGGTCACAGTACGTCTCGTCTCTGGGCACAGGCTCTACGACCCCCACCATCTCTCTCCTGTGATGACAGCAGAGCTTTAATGGGGACATTATTGACAACCACATCACTTATTCAATCAATTCCATTCCACAAACGGCCCGCGTTTGGAGTTCACTCACTTCATCTCCCACCATGTCTTCATCCATTTATCTTTGGGGATGTTTCCTGCAAACACCTGCCACCTCCACTCCTCCAACATGTAGGTAAAGGGCAATGTGGCCACGATGGCGAGAGACTGTTTCAGCATGGAGTTGATCTCAGGTTC